CTTAACCCTTGTGCCAGCTTAAGGTCGAGGCCACACTTGAAGGTCAAAACTTGACTTAGAAAATGCTTTAGGACATTGGGAAAATGAAAAGGTTAATTTGTAATTGTTTTGAACATAATTATATATATTTATACTATTACCTGTACGAGGGGTAAGAGTCGATGACTTCTAATCAAGTTTCCTCTCTGGCGTGGGTTTGATCCCCGGGAGATACTTTGGTAGTTTAGCATGGAGGAAGGTAGTCTAGTACTGGTGTAACCCACCAGGAACGATGGTCAGGAAACTACCCGCCTATATGACTGAAATACTGTTGGAAAAATGCGTAAAATCAAAACAACCAAATAAATAAATCTATGTAGTTATTTTAGAAGTTAGAAAACGATTTAAACAAATTATGATAAACAAGATCAACACGGAAAGGCGGCGTTCAATGGACCCCCATACGACCCAGCAACAAGAACCAGTGGTAAGGAGCCAAGGCGGACCCAAAACAAAAACAGACAGGGCACGGACAGTTACATCACATAAACATTACTAATAGCAAATATGATGCTTAAGTTAAAATGTTTTTAGTCTGCAATTCTTATGTAATTTTGTTGTGATTAATGCTTCCGGTGGATCACTTTGCTTTCTTTTTTTAACTTGTAAATGTTTGTTATACCCGCTTTAAAAATCACAGTTCATGTACTATCTTTTGCCTGCTAAACGCCGCAGTAAGCGACCTCTGCTCCAAAGGTTACGACACAGTAGCTGTCAGAGAATTTTTCAATTGACCCCGTTATACAGGGGAGACATAAAGCACCGCCAAGACCGGCATATGTTATCCTCCTTACCACGTAGAGGTACCCAAAAGAAGTCGACAAGATTTGACAAACCAAGATCAATAAGGGCAAGCTGTGACATTTTATATTTATAACTTCAAACTGCAGAAATCTTGTAATTCACATTTGCCTTTCACTGATGCTTATTTGCCCTTTACAAAACACGAATCTTGATAAATAATGACGACACATTTGCACGGACTGATTGTTACACAGGTTATAACTATCATATAGAATACAAGCTTATTTCGTCATAACGATGCAATAAAGTTAGCATACTTAATGCAATATATGCAAATTATAGTGGCTGTATAGATAATACGCATATATTAGCATATAATTTAATCTGAATCAACTATAATAGTTATCTAACATTAAGCTATACTTATTCAAAAAGCAGTATACTACACATTTAAAGATGCGCATTAAAAGCTAAGGAAACATGCTCTGAGAACTTAACATGACTTTAAATACATGCTTATATGCTAAGTAACATTTATTGCTGGTAATTAATAATTCTGTTTAGTTTATGTGACATTTTGCCATGCAAACGTAAAAGCTAACCTTCATATTTTCTAAACTCAAATAGGCCTTGGCTCATTTAAGATCCTAACCTTAAAGGTTTAACTATTAAATTTTCACTGATTTCTGCTGTAATTGAATGTAACTTGAATGTAACTTCGTAATAAATAACAGAATTACCTTTATACTTAGACAAAACAACTTTTGAGACAATACTTCTTAAAGGCTGGGCTGACCTTAAATTATTAAATTTCAGTTACATTGTCATAATTTTGTTATTTATGTACGTATATGATTTATACTTGGACAAACGAATACTTAATAGCAAACAAACATTTATTGAATAACTTAGTTGTGACCAAAAACAATTTTCAATATCTCTTATTGGCTAATGCGGCTCAGTTTGACAATGGGAAAAGATGCATAATGTCACTTTAAAAACTAATATAAAGGTTTTAAACTGGGCGCCAACCAGGGTAAAAAAAACTCGGAGTTTTAAGGGTATTCTTTTTGTTGTACCCATGACGATTCGGATCAAATATATTCATTGATATGTATTTGCAATGATTATAAGAAACTAAAATATACCTGTGAATCTATCTATTTATTTAACAAATAGTAATTCGTTTCAAGTGCAAATATATTTCTACCAACCTAACAAAAACTATCACTCTGGAAATAACCATTTTGTTCACAAATGTATTAACCTCTAACTTTCCAAGGGTTTAAACCACCCTTTATGAAAGAGTATGGATTTCATTTAACCGATAACATATAAGTCATCTTTTTTACTAACACAGTTTTGGTGCATATTATAGTGTTAGAAAAAAAATGATAAATATCTGATTTATAAAGTAAACAGCAACCCCATTGATAATAAGAGGAAAAATCCTTCGAAACGATTGATACATTTGTGAAAACAACGACACTCTTACTTCATATAAATGAGATGCAACTTAATTTTAAATGAATTAGAGTTTTTTTATTTATTTCTATTTGGAGTCAGTACAGCTTGACCTTGCTTTCATGCGACAAGGAAATTATGTTAATAAGAATGTCTTTACTTGCATATAATTAGCATATTTATGCAAAACAAATGCACATAAAGCTTTGTTGTAAAACGATTACTTTTGTCCTACCGTAGTCTGTTTAGACAGTTGCTTAAAATGTCTGATTATATTTCAGATATTGATAATTGTGTACAGTTTTATAACAGGATCTATGAACAACATTCTTTTAATCAACATGAAGGTTTTTCTAACACCTCAGATGTAAATCGGTTAAAAGCAAATTTTGGAATCGAAAGAGATGTTTACAGTCAACGTTTCGGTCAGAGAAGATGCAATCAGGATAGCAATTTTTTTGAACAGGACTGCTATCAAAAGGACAAGAATAATCTGATTGAAAGCATGGATGTTTCCGACTTCAGACAACTCGAGCGACTGTCGGCAAATCTGATACAGTTGCTTAATGAGGCTAGACAGAATTCTGCAAAAGTAAGTTTTAACGTAATTATTTATCCTTGATTTGGTCAAAGATAGTTAATATGTATAAATCTGAATGCTTCAGTTAACGCAATTGTAATGTAATTTCGGATCGATAAAATTCATATTTGCCAGGTTATTAAATCGAACTTTGCATTAACAGATACTGTTGGTAGAGAAAACATGTTTAGATTTTATAATAAAAGTGAAAATAGATAATAAGCATTTCATTACAAAGCAAAATTCATAGCTTTGCTTTTTGTTGCTTATGTATCACATGTATACAGTACTCAAAATTCAATATGTTGCACGAAATTGCTGATTGAATTATCACTGTTTCCAGTTGAAATCAAAATGTGGTAATACGAGTAGACCAGTTTACAGTCACGGACGTGCACCGAACAGACAACGATGCTGTCCACATTGTGTTGCGGCCAATGAGCATGTTTCGGTCAAGATAGGAAAAGATCATCAGCAAAATATTCAAACACATAATGCTGAACCGATAATGGGACAGATTAACTATATGCCAGAAAGAGTGACATGTACACCACAAGTGCCTTCTGTAAAGTTATTTTTTCTGTTAATTCAATTTAATGTCCAAAACCTGTTGTGTGTTTTGTTACATAGATACACGTTTTGGAATAGCTACAGTTAATTTACCTTACAAAAGACAATAATATTCCCCTATATATTGTATTGGAAACAGTTTTCTACAAAAATCTTTTTTCTCTTAAATGTTTTCATTCAAATGCCGATCTTCTTTGAATTCGCTCGCTCGGGTTCTGATAACGTCTTTAAAACACAAATGTTGCTAAAAGACACAAATCTTATACACGTTTTTAACCTTTGTAACAACAGATTATTGATCGATTAGCATAATCATAAGTTTAATTCTCAAATCGAAAATAAAATAGCAGCATTTGTTTGTTACTAAATTATCAAACAAGAAATGCAAAGACTTCAATGTATCCCATAACTTACACAATTTTAACGTTATCAAATATTGCAAACTTTGAATGTCTGTTTATAATAACAAGAGGAATTTGTTAGGAAAGGGACATTATTCTTGAAGTAATATTGTTTTAGTTTTGCCTCTTTTAACCTTACACATTTTGTTGTCATTGCCTATTAAACAGATTATTTAAAAACGATATGAAACATAGAATTCTTGTTAACATTGACAAGGCACTTTTGTTAGACAATGGGATTAATACGAATTCTATTTATCTAAGGTTATGCCCCATTTTAAGTTATACATGTATTTTTGTCAAAATTGCTTTTTATTAGTAGGATGATTTCAATACTATTAAAACTATCAACCTAAAACTTAAATACTTGGTACAGTTGTAAGACAATGGACATTATCCTGGAAGCAAAATTATAGCAAATTAAAATTTGGAAATTGGTAGAGTTTGCTCTTTATGGACAAGAGTTAGATAACTCATTTTTTAATTTTGTGACCATATATGATTGTACTATATAGAATGTATGTTTCACATTGAAAATTATACGGTAACTCGAAACAAACACTTCATCAGGTGTAACTTAAATTTTAAATCTAACATTAACATACTAAAAAGTCGAATTCTGCATTATTCAATCTTTATTTCAAACATAAGATAAAAATTGTCAGGTTCGCTGTGTTTGATGTTTGTCTTTATAAAGGATACGATTAATCTAAATATCTAGTTAAAATTGTTTACTTATACTCGATGCCAATACATGTACTCGTTGCCCTCCTTGAAATATTTATATGATTTTGTATTTTAGACCAATGTTTCTCTGTGCGGAACATTAATTCCTGAAAACACCCCTGCTATGACGGGTTTGACAGGGACAGGATTTAACGATACGTCTTCAATAAGTTCTCTTGATGAAAGTGAAAAAGATCGAAAAAAGAAAAATAACAAACACAGCAAAAGTATGCCCTGATTTTGTTGGTATTTCTGTTTTATAAGCATGTATGAACACTTAGCAGAATACCTAAATCTGTCTGAACAAAAAAAAGTTATCCTGCAATATTAATTGTAGGATAATGCAGGTTGCATTAATTTCGTACGAAGTCTAATGGCATTGCTAATTGTTATTACATAAGATTGCTTTACCTGAAATATTTGTAATTTTAGTAACAAAGAACACACTGTAATCCAACAAAACAGCATTGCTTGTATTCTGTTACATTACAAATAGTTTCTTCAGCTGAAGGTTATGAAACGTATTGGTAATATTATGGTATATAACTTAATATATTAGTCTATTAGTAATTTAACATTTTACCTTTTAGTATTTTATTATACCACTGTGTCAGGCAAATGAATTGGGGTGTATAGATACATTTCTAGGTACTAAAGAAGACATTATTTGAATAAGTCATTATATGTATAAGTATCTAACACGCGTTTTCTTATTCTAGTGGAAAGGAAGAAACGATCAATTGTTACCAACAGAATGGCAGAAATTGAAGGCTTGGTTCCAGCAAACGCTAAACGGTAAATATCTTTATATGACAACAATGTAACATGACACTGGTGATGACACAAATAGCCATAAATACTACTTGGATTCATTAATAAAAATATTACTTAATTCCCTTCTTTTTTAACAACGAGCTTAAGTTCGTATTGGTAGAAATAACTTAGTGTTTATTGTTGAATGATAAGAACGAAAGCCAAAGTCATGTTGTGTCAGTGTTTTGAACCCCCTGCAATACATTTTCAATAAATATAAGTTATACAGTTGTATAAATATCTGTCATGAAAACGATGCAGTTTATTCCCCGATTAGACGACCTTAATATTTTAATTCTAGGTCATCTTGCATGCAGAAACGACCATTTCTAAAAGAATCGGCTGATTATAACAAATCATTCCAAACGGACCAGGACCAAGTAAAAATATTACAAGATAAGGTCGATGATACTGGTCGTGAACTTAGACATTTAATACAGAGGATCGAGGTAAGCTGACAAAAACAATATTCTTATCTCATGAAATTTTCTATTTTTGTCAATCTTGTGATTTTATGTAAACAAACAAACAAATATAGTTAAGGTAATAATTGAACTGACACAGAAATAACGCTTTTGATAAGAAAATTGAACAGTAAGACATAAAAACATATAACAGTCTCCAACGAATAAAACACCAAGTATTTTGAATATCACGAAGGCAAATCAGGATAGAGTATGTGGATACTAAAACCTAAAATAAATTTTAGCATCGGTGACTAAAGTTGGATTACTTGTTAGAATTTGTTTACATTTTAGCGATTAGAGACTAAAGTTTCAACACGCTTTTCACACAAAAGAATGTTTGACCGTCAGTTCGGCGAAGCTAATGACATACATAGCAGTTCCCTACCACCAGATGAACCTGATAGGAACCTTCAACAACATCATTCTAATACGATAGTAACTGTTCCTCAAATACTGCCACTGCATGACTCTTATGATGTCATATCAGCACCAATCTCTGTTGATTCTCTTACATCTGTACCTAGTACCTGTAGCTCAGGAATGGACATAAGCGATATGAATTGTTATCTTTGATTCAACAATGTTAATATGTAATTTTGATAAATGTCTCAAAGAATGAACAGAATAAACTATTTCGTCTTATTCACTTGACCTGAAGTCAAGAGTTTCATCAAGCTCTCCTAACTTGACAACATATTTACCGGTATTTTTGTGTACGAATGTTAATTATTCAACAACTTTAATCACTATTTCTCATTCTACGATGTGTTTCAATTTGAGAACTTGTATTTTGTTAGTTTATCCGTTTCGAGTTCTCTATTTGTTTCCTTTTCTAGTGTTCTGTCATTAACATGTTTTATGTTATTTAATTCCTTTTCTTGCTTGCACCACTTACCGTCAAGAAATGAACTATGTTGTATTTTGTAATTAAAGTTCTTCATATGTTGTGTTTAACTTGTTTGTACCATTTCTGATTTGCTCATATATATTCCCCTTCTTATAGTTTCACACGTTTAATTGTTCTGTTATAGTGTTATTACATCTGTAAACGTGTGCCTGGTTTGTTTTTCGGTTATCCGGTCATTACCAGTATCACGTTTCTGTTTGTACTATTTAAATCGAAGCTTTAAAAATATTTATTTTAAAGATTACCATACTTATGTTATTTACATATGACTTCATAACGACGTGTATTATTGTCAATACATAATTCCGCCGCGCACAAATGTTGGATTCCGTGTGTTGATCTATAATATAAAAAGAAATAATTCTATTTTATAGGAAATCTGATAAATGAATACCATCTTGTATATATATACGTGTATAATGACAGCTTTTTCAATGTTTCACAGATATGCATACATACGTTTTAGCTTTAGACAAAATCAGAATTATTAACAAAACACGGTAAAGAAGAATGTAAATTGCTGCTTTTACTTGTCATTACTTATGACCTTCAATTATGCGACGAAAGAAATGAAACTTTACTTAGGAAGTAAAAGCAAACTAGTCATTAATTTTAACATTCTATGGTAGCTGAAAGATTTAAAGACATAATTCTGTTGTATACCCATTTACAATTTCAGTTATTCATCAAATGGTCGATTTAGCAATAGATCTCATAGAAACATTATTGTCAATCGGCTGACAAGGGGTCACAAAGGATAAAAAGGATCACAAATTTGTGAATTAAATTTTTTGTTAGGATATAACAATACCGAGAAAACATACGCAAATTTGTATATATTGTTAAGGTTATAGGCCGACCTTTGAGTGTATACAATAGACTTATCAAGGAATTTCCTTTTCCTGTGATGTTCAGTTATTCTTATATAATCCCTTATCATAACTAATTGAAATATGTATAGTGTTGAGGATTGAAAAGTGCAATAGGTAAAACTCACAAACATGAGAAATATTGCACCAACGGACATGTAATAGTTAAACAGGGTCTGATAAATTCACCCTTATTGGCCTATACTCTTTATCAAATTCTCAAAATGCTTATATATCAACTGTCTTTTATCAAAAAGAACATTTTAAAAACCACTTATGTAAACGTTCTGTATCCATTGTTAGACAAAGTGTCCACATGACAGCCTTGTAGGTTATGTCAGGCTTCAGAAAGCTTTCATTTGACAATTATTTTTGATAACTGACATCATGATATAATATCAATAATAAGAAAATGGAAGTCTTTTGTTAATACAATTTTAATTTAGAAAAAATAATGTACAGTGTCACAAAATTAAATATTAAATGTCTTTAAATAGATATTTTTTTTCTAACTGTTATTTTCAAAAGTTAATATATCCATTCGAGCTCTACACTGAGGTCTCTATAAGGTGTAGATACAATGGCCTTCATCGTTTCCAACGCATTAAGTGTTGACGACTGAATATTGCTTAAGTCGATGCTAGATGATTCAATCTGAGTTTTCAATTTTTATGTACATCATCTTTGTCGGTTGCTCAGTTTATAATAATGACACTAAATCATATACGAACAAGGGTTGATCCATAAATTCGAAGACTAGGTTCATAAATACGTGGTTAATATAATTACAATAATTAATTTGATTAAATAATACGAGTTAAATAATCCGCGAGTATTACTTTTGAAAGAAACAATAAACCGACTACTAAATGTCGCTTTTTTGTATTTGACATGACGTCACCAAAGTTTATCTAACATATGACACCCGTCCAAACCTTTCATATTTCCGTGCATACCTCTACAAATAATTTGTGTCACTGAAGAATTAATGAACAGCTCACATTTTGGTCCTGTTGTTTGCCATAGTTAATTTTAACGCTTTAATGAACAGTGTTCGAATTCTGAAACAATCCCAGATTTACCAAACATCGTTTAATTTTCAATTTTACATCAGAATTGCGTAAGTTCCTTATGTGGTACATTAAATGTCCACAGGGATATAATTGCAAACTTTTCAGAAATTCTAGAGATTATTTGAGAAAAATATATGCGCGTGTGTGATTTTTTCACAATAGTTGGAATCTTTTTGCATTGGTTCTTTTAACGCTCATCATTAATTACCTTTGCACATTTCATGTCAATATTATCAAATTTGAAAAAAAATATAGACATATCTATATTGATCTTGAAGCCATTCCAAACACAATGCCTTTACCACCTGACTTGTGATCTGCGTGCGGAAGATAACAAAGTCGGTCAAGGATGTTTTCTCATATTTCATAAAAAAAATCATTATAATAGTTTATGAGATAAAGTTTACAATCCGCACATCCAATTTAGTAAGCTTATATAATATTTGTTAGACTGAAATAGCGTGAACTTCTAATTGTTTAAACACACAGTATGAACAAAATTACTGTTTTTGTTATAAAATAAGCATGATTTTATTGACTAAAATAGACAGACTCTAAACTTAATCCAACTACAAATGATGAAATATTAAACAGTTTTGAAATAAAATATTAGCTTGACTGGCTCGTATCGGTTTTCTGCCCAACACTGACTTAAATGACAATATATAAGAACAGAGACGATTCAAAAATCAGTCTACAAACATCTGGGTCAACCCTCGTATGTCAACTTTAATGTGAATTTTATAAATTAATAAGAAGGAATGAATGCAAAGGCATTTTTTGAAGGCCAGAATAGAATATTTTATAACTCACGTGAGCATAAATTAGACATAAATAATCATGACCGTAATAAATGTTAAGAAATACAATGATGTTTTAAGTTTATGACTAAATAATGCTTGCGCCATGACCGTACTTATTTTAGAAATTGTGTCCTACTCAAGTATAACCTACACCTGGTTATGAAACATATGTTTTACAGTGAAATGTAACTTTTTTGCAAAGTTGCAAATGGCTTTCAAGGTTCATACATTAGAATAATAAATACATTAGTCGAAGTGAAATTTGTTCATTTATTTATAAATTTTTTAAACACTTAATGAACAAAAATAAAAAATTAACAAATAAATGTAAACACACGTGAATCTGTACAAAAACCGTCATTGAAGCATGACAAATGTCAGTAATTTATTTCGCTGTCAAACTTTAAACTTACTGCATATAATTAGTGTGAAGAAACACAGTTCAATGTTTAATCATTACATTAATGTCACCAACCGGTTCCAAATGCAATTTTGCTCCAGGAAGTTAAGTGACAACTCTAACATCATCGCTCTTTTGGATAAAATAATAAATTATTTAAATGAAATATGCAATTATTGATATACGATTAATACTGGGTATAACAAAACATAGTGTCATAATAGTGCCATCGTATGTATTTTTCTTTCTTATTTATGTACTATTTAGTACAAGTTAGCCATAGTTTCTCTTTGTACTTTGCCTCAAGGCTATGTGATTCGAACAAATGTGGTCTGTGATGTTTCTCGCGAATGCTCAAAGTTTGGGTTTATTTGTTAAAACGTGTAAACGTTTAACGTATATATTTCCATTACTTTCAATAGATGACTTCGTTTAATTTAAATCGTTTAAGGTTTCAAAAATAAGAAAATAAAAGTTCTTCGAAAAGCTATTGAGCTCACCAGTCATTTACGGTCGTAGAATGCCACATTCATCAGCTTATATATTGAAGACCAAAAAAAAAAACATTTTTCTTTTTTATAAATGAGAGTCATATTTATTGTAAACGACCAAAACCCGAAAGCTGACTGGATCCTAAAATTTTGACCAGTTATGGAACTTACTTATGATAAATATTTGCTTTAGTCTTTTATTAATCAATAAATTAACTAAAAAGTATGTTTTATCTTGCTTTTCGTTGCTGTTGTTGTTGTTGTTGTTGTTGCTGTTTTTGTTGTTGTATTTGAAATCTGCAAATAATTTTACTTTCATTAACGAAAGTTATCCAATCCTCCTATTATTTTTGTTTGAACATTAAGAACAAAACTGAATAAAATTTTGACCAGTTACATGTATTGAAGTTATAATAAATGGTTGTTTTAGTCTTTTATTAATCAGTAAATAACCTAAAAATTATGTTTTATCTTGTTTTTGTTGTTGTTTTTGTTGTTGTTGTTGCTATTTTTGTTTTTGTATTTTCAATCTGCAAATTATTTTACTTTTAGTTACAAAAGTTATCCAATCCTCCTATTCTTTGTGTTTGAACATTAAGAAGAAACTGAATCAGGAACATAAAAATATACAAAATTACACCAACGATGCAAAAAATAATTCAGCCGTATTTGAAAATAAGCAACATCAAGAATAAAACTGCCTTATAACACATCTATCTTTTCTCCTTTAATTTGGTCATTTTATATATTTGACAGTATGATTGCGATCAATGTGAGTTTTTGTTTTGTTTTGTTTCTTTTTGTTTTGTTTTTTTTGTTGTTTAATAAAGTTATAATGAAATAAGTAAGTCATGTTATTTATGTTGGATCGCAAGCAACGACAGGAAGAATATAAAACAGCGATGTTTTGTTGAAATAATCATTTAAAACTTGAACGATAAAACACTTGTAATAAACAAATATTTAATCAAAAAAATAAAAACTAGGGGGGGGGGGGTAAAGGGGGAAAATACTTACCGTAGACAAGACACAAGCAAACGTGTCAACAAAAAAGTATGAAACAACATAGACATACATCTGAGAAAAACAGAGGGGCGCCGCCTTGGAACGGTCAGCAGCATAATAATGAATGAATAAACTGAAACAACATGTCATAAAAATCATCGGAATATGTGATTAAAGGAACACTTGAAAAATATACAACTTCCCTGATATCTGTATATTGGAATTACAGTACGCTATTAAATACATAAATATAATATGCTTACAGAAGTGAATTGTCAAAATTATAGCATGGCGTAAGAATAATT